AAAATGAAACATATGTGTGGAATTCTTTCATGGTACCATATAAAGAATGTTACACATAATATGTTACCAGCAATTTTCTCGAGAACTACAAGAGATAGCGACAAAATCTTTTTATTTTGTTTATATAAATTCAATGAGGCTTTTATATCGATAATTATAAAATACACCTTTAATGATATATACATATGCATACATATATATAAGATGAAATGAGATATTAAATTATAGAAATATCCGTCCCTCTATTATATATTTCGAAAAAGTATCTAAAAAAAAAATTCGTGATGACAATTAAAAAAAAAAAATTCGTGACAATAAAAAAAAATTCGCACGTTCTTTCCAATATCCTCACCAATGTATTTAATTTTTTAACTCTGTCATCGCTATACTCGGTATAAAAATCTTAAAAGCAATAACTGCCATCAAAATATAGAAATAGAGTCTAGCATGTAAGTCTATTTGTTCGCGATAACCTCGAATATTTTTTTCTTTCCTTTTTTTTGTACATGGCACTCAATCAAACCTTGTGATAAAAAGTGAAGGTACGTACTATATAATAATAAAAATTGTTGGAAAACTATCTCGAACGGTATAACGAATTACTGTAACCGGTACCAGATATAAGGCTGACAATAGATATAACCATTAGTAGTAAATATAAGACAAATAACTTAAGATCTTTTTATAATTATTTCTTTTATGGCCCTAACAATTACCATTTATGTTAATTCTGTACATTTCGTACACTAATGCATTTAACTTGTATAGATAACAATTAACATATTAATAACTCGGTAGAGAATTAAAGTAACCTTATACAAAGNTTAACATATTAATAACTCGGTAGAGAATTAAAGTAACCTTATACAAAGTTTATAATGTCGCATGATTAGTATACAATAGGAGGGAATATCTAAGATACGTCTTGCTCGTGTTCAATATTAATAATATTGGGTTACGAAAGAATGATGACATTTTTTTTTTTTTTTTAATTAGGTGTCTTATATATCACATATCGTAGCGCGACATACATACATGTGTTGCTGATTTAGAGCCGATCAATAATAAAGGGAATTCGTGATGAAAGCTATAAAATGCAAAATTATGTATGAAACTTCTTTTTTTAAAAGGCCTTGCTGTTAAAAAATTCAACATATGTTGTCACATGTTTGTCACTGAGCAGCAAAATACTATTATGGGATATATTCATCTCTGATTATGCATATCAGATTAAACTACACACTTAAAACTTATGCATATATCATATCTTTAAATCCATTGTATGATGTAACTATAAGAGCATCTAAAGAGAGAGTGTGCTTCAAAATTTTATTCAGTCATCCTTATGTGTATGATTTCGATAAGAAAATAGTTCTTAATGAATTGGAAAGTTTAGATGACTCATTAATGAACACACATACCGGCATTTCGCCGCACACCGTTCGGAATTTTATGTACAAACATTTAAAAAGGATTCTAACATGATTCGAACCGCTGAAAGATATTAAAGTGTCATAGTGTTGCCAATATAAGATAAATATGACGCGTTTTTCAAAAAGAAAGAAGAAAAAGCAGAAACGTATCATACTATTAATGAATCTGGTTATTGCACTATACATATGTATGCTTAATAGTCTCTTTCCTAATGACGTAGAAATATTACTATATAATAATAAAATTTAATATCAGTTAGCTGTATGTACATATGTATATGCTCGTATCAAATATGTCTAAAGATTCTAAAGGTTTCGATACTGTGAGAAAGGTTATATATCGAATATATTATAAATGATACTACCGATATCCTATCAGAATTCACTCTCGCGATGAAAGTAAGTTTGTGATCATAAACTTTGTAACCTATTGTGTTGGCATACTTGACATGTTTGCATGTTAAAGACTTGCGTTCTAAAAATCATGCATACTTCTTTCAAGGAATCACTGTCTTTTTAGCAGATGGTCCAAGCAAAAACACCTTGTTGACAAAGATTACCGGAGCACTAATTCTTTGTTAGAAACTTCTACACATAGTTTTAACTCCGGGATGTTCCTCGTGCACCGGATTCAAATCGACAAAACCTAACTTGCCGTAGAACTCGTGGGATTCCTTATCCGTTAAGGACATTGTCGTGTGTACTCCAAAGGAGCCTGCAACATATGACATTGTTATTATTTACACCACATTCGAGTATAAAAACACAAATCACGATTATAAAAATTGTATCTTACGTGACTGAATACTCTGAGAAAAATTAACATGTCACACTTAATCACTTAACTCACCGTTTGCTCTTAGAGCCGCGAGGACACAGGTTATTAAACGTTTACAAATTGATTGATCTGTGACACTCGGTAGCACAGCGCAAATCAGCTTCGACGGATGTTGCCTGCACAAATGTTCCGGCACGTCCGGAATAAACGAATGGAAATACTGTATGGCATCCTGCAATTTGCGTTTGAAGGTCGTCAATGCGGAGATAACCATACGAGATGCATATTCGTGTGAAATTGTGAACAACAGAGAAAGAGGGAGATTCAGGTTCTCATGACGTGAAATGATATTTCTCTCTTGATATTTTTACAGAATAATCACGAATAATCACCTACCTGTACGTTCTGCGGCAGCTCGCTGACGTTATTATCTAGCGGGTACTTCATTCGTAATTCAGGGATCCAGGAAACTGCAATCTTCTGATTATACGACTTCACATTTAGCGTACCTACTGCGTAACCCACTATACCGTTTTCATCCTCAACAACCATGCACAACTCCGGACTCAGCGTTAAGAAACCTCCGACGAGTCTGTGTAACAAATAAATGTACTTAATTAGGACGATTTGTCTAAGAAAGTTTTCATAAATCGGTATATCATATGTACAATTATTCAACAATTATTTAACAAATAATATACATGCAACAAATATGTTTACCTGTCAGCCACAGCTGATGAAGATGTGCAATTATTAATCTGATTGCACACCGTGTAAACGGCTTCTTCGTCGCTCGATATATACGGGCGAATTGTATATATTTTGCTACTGGGTACTTCTGGTGCTTTATAAACGAACAAGTCGTTGCCACTGTCCACTGGAATCAATCGCTGAAATCATACAAAAGTTGATCGAAGACATTCTTCAATGTGTCTTATTGTAACAATGTGCTGAGTATGAAACGAGATAAGTGAGTGATATGCACCTGTAAATCAGCTGTAAGTCCACCACGGAAAACCCACGGTTCTTGTTCTCCACTCATAAACGTTTCTTTCCAACCATTCGAGAACCCTGTGCCAAGGACCATTTTTAATAAATCACGAAACGCTTGATTCACGCGCGCGTTATCCATATATGTTTTGATTTCAATTGGCCTCCACTGCTCTGGGCATCAATTTTGCTTAAATCTTTTTAACATGCAAAGATACAATGCGATTGGAGATGTTTCTTTCTCTCTCGTTTATGTCGAGAAATGCCTTTTCGCTTCATGTAATAAGAGCACGAGAGAAAGAACGATCTATCCGAGCAGACAACTAAGGTGCACCAATTTCACGGATTAGAAACGAAGAATGGTCAAGGTAAATTTTCATGGAGATATATATTTGGCAATGTACATGATATAAAGTCTTAGAGATCATGTAATATCAAATTTTAAGAAATTCTGACTTTAATTATCCAAATATTTGGTCTTATGCGAAATAAATGAACAATGTTAAATAGGAAAAAAGGAGTAAATATCATATATGCTGCACCAAAGTTCGCGCAATGCTAAGCTCTTGAAGTACTGGATCGGGGAATAGGAGAGAAGTGGAATATATAGTCCAGTTTGCCAATATGCGCCTGAAATAAAATTTTTATCACGCCTGAAAAGAATATAGTTTCTGAAACTAAGTAAAATAAATTAGTGCAGGCAAGTTGGCAAAAGGAGGGTATTGTTGATCATTTAGAATAAAAAGAGGGTAAATACTTCGAACTGTTACATAAGAGTACATCGTTCTTAGTCCTTAGCACATATAATCGTACAGAGAAAAATCAAAGAGGTCGAAAAAGCAGTTCTTTCTTATCCTTTTCTTTTTATCACAAATGATCAAAAGTCTGCAGATGGGAAATGTTCAAGAGCTTATATAATCTCCTATTTGTTACACACTGTGCCAATTTTACGTTATTCTTCGATGGACATATTTCACGGAGAAATTAACGTGTTAGATTAATTCGATCTATGTTTCCGAATATAAATATACAAAATACCGCTGGTTTTACAATCGATTAAATATCACGTAGTTATATCGATATGAACTATTTGTTATATAAACGTGAAAAATTAACAAAATGGAATATTGATGGTGGAGTTGCCGCTGGGAGCTATCACAATACATATAATATATTGCAAAAGAAAATTGTACGGCATGTCACGTAAAATTTTACTATTTATACGCGTATAAAACAGCGAAATCGAAAATATAAGCAAAATTTTGATGGTATATATGGGAAATACGTCCATCATGTAGGAGAACGTAAAAATAAATGTGCTTTGTACACATTGATTTTTCTTTTTTTCTTTTCTGAGCTATTGCAACGCTGCTTCTACGCGCGCGTCTCTCGTTTGCGTTAAACGAGACAACTTTCTTTCACAAAGTCCCAAACAAAGATTCAGAAATGCATCAACTATCACTGCAATGTTTGAAACTTTGTTATTTCGCGCGCTTGCTGCTGGTTTTACTCAAGGACTGTTGAATCGCATACATGTGTAGCTGCCCTGGGTAAAGGTCGTCATCGTCGACGGGAATCTGCCAAACGCTATCAACAAGACAAAAAAACACAGAAATACGAGTTAGTTAATGAGTCAGAGCTATATTGATCCTGATACTTTACATATTCTGGCAGGAGGATGCTCATTACGAATCTAGTTTCATGCAAATTTTGATTGTAACAATTAACTTAGTGTAACGGAAGATGTTTTGAGAAAAATCGTGAGTTCTCGTAAAGTGAATCGATCTTTGACTTATAGAGATTCAATATATTACAATAGTGCTAAAACCCATGTACGAAACATACTCCTGCTCCGTGTTATCTGTAAAGAAAGTCGATTGATATGTTAATAGCTGGTATAAGTTACTTTAAATCCGGTATATGTTCACCTCCGTAAAGATGCTGTTGGATACTATCTCATAAAATTATCGTAACTCCTTCGCCATGGTATGGGAAAGCCACATCAATTCACTTTACATATCCAATCGGATGTATATCGTTACAGATTTAAGAGCGCAACGTTCTGAGAATACAGATGCAAAATATTCGGGAACGTGAGATACGCTAGTTGTGTAGAAACGTAAATTCTGTTGAAAATAAAATAATAGAAAAGTGTTGTGGCTTGCCTATATATAATAACTGTAAAAATAAACCAGCGGCCGTTAGTTAGAATCTTTTATTGCACGAAAGTACAAAAACGTTAAAGTCAAGAAATAATTCTAATTCGGACGAACATAAATACTGTGTACAGTGGATTTCGCGCAATCAATTTCCTTTTATGCTTTTCTCTTCAAATCATTCGGCGGAGATTAAGCACATCGGTTTTCGTGCGATTCTGACTTACGGCTAAGTTTTCCCTACGCGCGCAATGCGATGCATCTATTTCTAATGCGCAGAAATAAATGCATGTTATGAGATCATGTATATGCAGATTGTGGCACGTCGCATTTCCGAATATTACTGATAGGCGTTACTACTTGAAAGCATGATTTACAAGAACTACATTATACAATATTGTAAATACGGTAAATTAATAGAAAAAACTCACTGACAACATTTCATCAATATTCTCAGTTTTTTAGATCATTTTTTTTTCTTTTATACCGAAGAAGCATAACACATGTATAAAAATGTGTAAAATGTCAGATGTCTCTTAAAACACATACTACGTATCATTGTTTAGGTAAAAAGAGGATGCGTGTACATTTTTTTTTACTTCTACGATACAATGTAGAATACGTTATAAGAGAAACAAAAGATTGCGTGAAGTCATTTGCCAAACAATCAGTAATTTACGGATCTTAGAGAGTAGATATGTATACAAAGATTTCGCTGCACATTACGTCGATTTACAAGGAAATATAACGCACTCATTTATCGTGCTACTTTTGGTAACACAGCAGCATCATATATGGGTAGTATATAAATTAACAATCGTTTTGTAAATGTTGAGTACCTGTGAAACTCCCAATGACATAATGTAACATTCAGATCTTAACGTGAAATCATCGTGTAAGATTAATATTTTGTGAACATTTAGTCCTATTATGGCAACAGACATAAACAATATAATATTGTGAACATTCCAGACTTCACAGATCAAATCATAAGAAAAAATAAAAAAACTTTCCTTGTAAAAAGATAAAGTTATACAACAAAAAGTAAGATAACATTCACTTACCAATACTCAAGACACTTTTGTTCTGAAATATAAGTATAGGTAAATAAATTATAATATCTTTGTGAGAAGTCGACAACAGCACTTGTCTGTGGTACAATGGATATAATTTTAAATTGGCTGGTGTGTAATATCGAGAAGAGTAACTTTTCTAAGACGAGAGCAAAATTGCTTGTATGTATGGTTGTTATTGCAGTGCAACTATTGTTGCAATGTAACAAATTTGGAATTATGCAGATAATACAACCGACTTGAGAATATATATTTTTGTATGTACCAGCTTACTAGCATTTCAACTTGACTTTCTTTAATATATAATAAAAATAACAGCAAAACTATGTATATATTAATTCTTATCCTCGATTCATATGTATATATATTACTGATATCTGACAAGATTCAATATATATTGTATATATAATGTCAAATTCACTGGAAATTTAATAACATTGTAAAGATTAATCGCGACAATTTAAATTTGTACATACATGCATAGGGCAGCATGAGTGATATAAAATAATATAATATACATTACTATATCACTATACTTTAGAGAAACAGGGAGAAACAACTGATATCAATTCATTAAGCATCTTTAGTGCGTAAATCGTTAAATATAATCGTATTCGCTGATTCTTTTTTGTAGAAAACGAAATATCTTTTCTCAAATAACTATTCACTGCAATGTATATTTTCTAGTATTGTCAATATATCAGGTAATATCTCATATATGAATCAAATGCAACTTACCCAGCCATTTCACGTAACTATTTAAGAGCGACACAACTCCTCTCATATCCCATACGTACGAGTACAAATCGTACAATAACTCGCGGTTATTACAGTACGTGAGCCTTTGAAACAATCTATTTACCGCATTACACATGTCGTTTAATTTAGCTGCACGTAGGTGCCACTCTTCGATCTATAATTCATTTCATCACATATGTGAAAAGGGACGGTAGATTCGCACAAATATCTGGATCTCATCCATTTGAAACGTATGTAACTCACGTCCGACTCAGACGCAGACTCCTCCTCTTTAGATTTTTTCATAACGACGTAAGCGTTACTCTTCAACCAATTGAATTCTTGCAACAGCTGGACTCCTTGACCGCCATGTTCGAACGGCAAATAGAACAGATCGCAGAGCAACGACAGATCCTCGTGCGTAAGCTGTTTTTCGACGTCTACGGACTCTTGGGGCACCGGGTCCGCGTTATCCGAACTCTCGTGATTCTCACTGTCGTTCTCTATTATCATCTGCGTGCCGTTCACTGTGGGAGAAGTGCTGTCCACTTCCACCTGCATACTCCCGGACGCTTCGCTACACGTCTGACGGATAGAAATCACACGATTATACATGCATAACGAAGTCTTTGGGAATCAGTAAAAAGACTTACAGAAGTATTATCTACCATAGCGTCGTCTTCCGTCGGGATTTTCGCTATGTGCGCCGGCGAATTGTTCGGAGTGGTGTTGCAGTCCATAGGCTCCATTGAGGAGAGGGTCGTCGACGCCGGCTCGCCGCTCATATTGGTTGATAATGTAGTCAACACAGGCTCGCTGATTACCTTTATGTCCGACACCAAGGAATTCATCACCGGACCGGATGAAGGCTGGGCGAAACTGTCGCTGCTCGTCACGGTTGAGCAAACTTCGGCTAACGCTTGAAGATGATTGGAATTCGCCACAGGCGTAGGCGCTGCAGGGACCGTCGTCGTTGTCGTGGACGTCAGGCTCATGCACGTATTGACAGAAGGAATTATTGGAATAGGTATCGTCGATGCGACGCATGGCTGCGGTTTGGCTATTACTCCCCAGGCCGCCTTCTTCTTGTTGAACTCCAGCAGCCACTCGCTTATCGCGTTTTTCAGAGCGTGTCGTGGATGATACATGTTCGGCGATAACGTCGACGGAACGTCCTCACCGAGTACGCCATCCTCCGTTTCAGTCTCTAGTTTAATGTCCGCTGATACAGTGTCGTCTGCGACATAAAATAATTTATATCAGTCCCTTTTTGTGTACTTTTAGTACACTGATACTTAATTCTCGTATTATTTTATATTAATTCTTAATTTTGGAGTAAGGGAAGATGCATCTCGTGTAAAGAGTGTTAGAGGAAACTTATAAAGCAATGTGAAAGTCGTACTTAAACTTAGGTCTCTCTTCCCGTCGACATTGCACCTGCTCCATTGCGCCAATGTATGAATTGCTATGAAGTTCGCTCCATATTCGCAATTAGGATTAGTCAAGACTCCTCTAAGTTTAGGTATGAGATCGGGAGAGCGACCGGAGTATGGTCCGAGAAACACTCTCTTTTGATCGTAATCATTAGCATGTAAATTATCCCAGATAACGGGTGGCCTTCGGAGCACTTCTGTGATCTCCTCAATAGACTCCACAGTTAAAAGTCTGGATATGACTTTAGGTCCGGTCCACATAATGTCAATTTCCTGAGCTAATTTGCTGCCGAGTGTGTTGAGATATTCCGAGGACGCGACATTCGGCATTGCGCGCGTAGCGCAATATTGCGTGGGGCATAGAAGAAAACGAGGCTGACCCAGATGTTGAAAAATATCGTTTGTGACAGAGACCTATAAGTGATTAAAAGGACAATGTAAAATGTAACACTTTGGAATTGCCTTGAAAGTGTAACACTTTGTTGTGTTATGAAGTGACAAATATATAGGATATCCCTAAATATCTTCTTTGTTTTTAATTATATGAGAAATGTTAAAAAAAATGACCGTAAACAATTTTTTTCCGTCCTCCTTTGAAATCACTCAAATTGTGAACATTTCTCATATCATGAAAAACAAAGGAGATATTTAGGTTGTTCTTATGCTAGGATACCCTGTATACATTAATACCATTATATCTGCTGGAATAAATTTACCATATAAATATTGTGTGTTATATACATACTTGAGCATGTGCAAACGATTGAAATACTTCTTTATCAGCTTCGCTCATTTCTGGCTCTATGTCGTCGAATAATAATGCAAACGCTGTACAACCAAACTGGCTGACTTGTTCCAGCTTTCTTTTCAAAGCTGTGACTTCCTTTGAACTAGAATATGTAATATCCAATCCAGGAGATAACGCATAATAAAACGTTATTCCATATTCCCTGGCAGCAGTGATCAAGCCAGTCAGATGCTCAGCTTCCTCTACCGTATACAGATCTCTCCAATAAGCTCGATGTTTGTAATCGTCTTTTGGAGCATACAAGTAGGAATCCATTCCCCATTTCTTTAATCTGATAATATTCACAGCTCAATTAATATTGCGGAAAGAAGTATTGAGAAAAACAAAAGAAAACTAAGGAACAGAAAAAAGGTAATAAATGGTGAGAATATCCAATCTTCCCGAATGTTAGTACCTTATTAATTCCTTATCAATATTCATTCCCGAAAGAACTTACTTTTGAAAGAGATCCTTCCGTTGCTCCGTGGTCCATGGACGACCGTAAAAGCCTGCAAACGAAAAAATATGTTACATGTCGTGGGAATGAAAGGGGGGAAAAGAAGCAGCGAAAGAAGAGGTTGCATCGCCCAATCGTCTCTGGACCCGACCGTCCAGCGATCATTGACGCAAGAAGCGCGACAGTGAGCTGGTCATTTCTACGTACCTTCCACCACACCGCAGATAAAATTGCCGTTTTTCGTATTTAAATTCGCAGCCCCGTTCGTTTCCGCCATTGCGGATCGCGAGAGGCACGTTTGTTTGGGATCGTGGGATACAAAAAAAAAATGGGTCGAAACGTGCGTTCGTGAGAAATACAGCAGAGGAGAGTCCACGAGTTCGCCGTGCGACCGCGGCGAAACGTCAAGGCCGATGTGAGCGCAGCAACTGGCACACGCTGCTACGTGTACGGCGTGTGACACACAAATCCCACCGACATCACACGCCGAGATTCTGTAGAAAAGCGGAGACGCGGCACACAGAAACGAGAACTCGTCGCGCACTCAACCTCATGTATGCTTTCGCGTCTGACGTTAGCATATATATATAGACATAGTATAAGAAAGAATAATTCCCGCATTACATATTATTTTTCTACTGTATCATGTTGGTTTTGACACAACGCAAAGTATGCAGAATATCAAACAATTTTCGTCTTTTGCTATACTGACGACGAAAGGTACTCTTTGGAGATAACAGTCATGTTACTCAAGAAAAATAAATGTACGTCTGATCCGTCGTTGAGTAGCACTACTCGCGCTAAAAGAGACGTTGGTGGCGACTCGTAGCGAAGATTTTGGAACTAATAAAAGTCACTTAGCCAAGACTCAAACCAACTCAGCTGGGACAAGCTTTTATCTTTCACAGTAAGATCATTTGTGAATCTCCAGTCACACAGGTAGATTTGTATTTCTATCTTTACTATTGTTGTTTCGTCAGATTACCAATATTTGTGGCATACGAATATTCAAACATAACTTATATATTATTTTATTTATTTATATAAATGATATAAATAATGAATAACAAATCTTCTAACCCCTCTCTCTCTCTCTCTCCCTCTCTTTAGCTTATATATTATCTCATGTTTCTCATCAACACCAGGTATTTTGTCGACATTTCGAATTATTTAAAAATGCATTCAATTTATTTCTGCAATAAACAATTTTTATATAAATTCCAATGATATATCATTTTCCTCTTTAAAATAGCACGTTAAATTGATACTTGAAATTATCAAAGTCATTGTTCTCTTTTTTTGCAATGTTGATTGACAGCTCGCTGCGGCTTGCCTGCTTCGTGCTGCGTGCGATTGTCATCGCCAGAGTCGGGTGACGATTTAACTGAATATCATATTAGAACGTCGTTGAACGGAATTACATTTTTAATATTACTGTGCTTAATAGCGTAGCGTCACGCTGCCAACACGTTCTAGTCCGATAAAAAATTGTATGAATATATTTTATGTGATGCTCATCTATTTATTTATATCTTCCGTCTTAAATGTTTAATTTCAGACCGTATGACGAATTGTCAGAGTCAAGCTTGTCTTATACATACTCTAGTCTCTCATAGATTTCTTTCAAGTTCTTTCATTCCCGCAGCAACATTTACAATTTCTTCTTTCTGCGAAAATGGCAAACACGTCTTCCACGTCGCGGGATTATACGAAGCCAGCCATCGACCAACGAATTACCGAATTACTGAAGAGGAGAATCGGCGCACGGGAAGATTTGCCTACGGAAACTACGAAAGAGCGACTTGTAAGTACTTTGCGGCTACAGTATTCTTTTGCGAAATGCTTTGAACATTATGCATCTCATCTTAAATGCTACTACACTTTATAGTATTTATTCATTAATGTAAAAAAGTGAGAAATGTTTAAAAAATGTTCCCTATCCACGCACAAATTTCATCAGTTGGAACAATTAAAACAACAAAATTGATTTACATTGCAAACGCGTATGATCTTCTCGTGAAAGTGCTATGGAAGAGAAAATATTTGCACAATGTGGATCTTTATTTTGGATATACTTTTGACTTTTTTAGGCGAAATTCAAGGAAAATCGTTACGTTAGAGAAGGATTATTAACGATCACCCATCGACACGTTTTAGAGACAACGGCGTATATCTTGAATGCAAACGTTGAGACGCTGGAGGAAGGAATCCTTGATAAGGATGAATACGTGAATATATTCAGTAGTTTTTTTGCTGAAGGCGGAAGACAAGCGATCATTATATATTTACAGCCGATGAGTCCACCAGTATTTGGTAATGTTTGATATATTTATTAAAGTTTGCGTCATGCTTTAATGTGCTCATGAAAATCTACGATGGAAAGAAATAGAAATTACATACAATTTAATACTTATACATAAGAAACTAAACTCTATTTTAATATTCTTCAGTTTTTTGACAATTTGTTTTCAACTCTGTATAAATATCAAGGCGCCGATTTATTTGGACTAATCAGTGACCGAAAATATGAGATTTATTTCGTGAGACATTTTTTTGCAAGAAAGACTCACTGAAAAAAACTATATTATTCAATTATTCCAAGCGGACTTTAACAAAATTTTAGTTTGATTACGAAGATACTATAACGTTGATAAATGATGAGCTCTACTGTTATCTCCAGTGAGAAAAAATCGTCTGCAATTTCATCGAAAAATTCGTTATTAAAATTAACAGTGGAACTTCTGCGATTTAAATGGCAAATATAATTGTTTTTTTATTTGCAATATTTATTAATGATTCGTAACTCTGTTGTGTTCATTTCTTTATCCGCTCGTGCGCAATTTCAACATAGAAGACAGTGATAATATTGTTTTACATTGTATCGCGACGGCGTAATGAAATTTACATAATCTCAGAATCCGGACGATGGACGCCGCAACTTAGCGGGGAGCAAGAAGTTATACGTTGTTGCATAACGGATGGTACTACCGAAGAGTTCACGGGCAAATGTGTAATAGTTTATCGATTAAAGTCAAATCTCGAGTTCGGAGTCAAGCAGCTACTCGATGTAAGCACCTCTTCGGTTAAAAGTTGACGTTCACGTCGGGAGAGTTAACTTACAACCGGGACTGAATTCAGGCTTAAATTTACATCGCATTTTCTGGATGCTGTGGCACTCATGAAATGTAAAGTTTTAACTCACTTTAACACTGATAAAATGCATGAGTTTAACGAGATTGTACACAGTTTAAAGTACCCGCGCGCGGTTCAGATGATTCTTTTCTCGAGTTTACGTCGAAAATTTCCCGCGAATAGAATATCCTTTCATGTTTAAAGCCATGAGGAGAAGAATTCAACGGGATGCACTGGTAATTCTATATACTCAGTTAGATATGAAACGATATTTACTTATACCAATAATCAGTATTTTTAACGTTTTTGAATTCGCCAGAAAGATACGATATCGAAAACGGAATGAATGGTTTGCTTTTGGAATCAGGATACAAATTAAAAAGAATTCTGCCACGTTAATAAAAAGTCTACCGATATTATCTATATATACTATCATATATATTATATTATATTTCTCTCTAACCTCTACTCTTTCCCATTTGTGCTATTCCTTAATTCCTTTATCTTACATTTTTCCTTCCACGTTCTACACAGGAAGCATATTACGCGTATGCCGAAGTAGATCCTACGTCAAAGAGCGCGTTGGCGGGTGTATCTGACTTGATCTCGCGTTTACACGTGCGAACATTGACCGCCAACACGCAGTGGGGAGAACTGACGAAGAGTGAGGCCGGAGAAAAGATGAGGGACAATTTCATAGGCGATTTTAAAGATTTCTGTGAATTTCTTAGCAGTAAGCGAATTACACGCGATTTGTATTTCCTTATATATGACGTGCATATATCTTTCGTCGTCCAAGAGAGACATCCAATCTCCGTTTTTCTCCTTTTCTCTAGTGACGAAGATAGATTTAGAGAATATCATGCGCTTTCGAGTTAATTTGGATCTGTATCAGAAATATTTGATGAAACCCGAAAATATGACAGAAAGCATTCACAATCCGGATGTTGTTAGAGCCGCGGAAACTGACATTCAAATGTGGATGAAAACGATGGAACGAGTGCGATTTTTACTAATTAGATCTCTTCTTAACATTTAAGATTGAACTTCAATAGCTTTATTATAAAATAAATGGCTCTTTTCAGGCTATTGTTGAGAGTCAACAATTGCGCAGGGAAACCGAGACCGTAGGGCCGTCCGCCGAACTTGCGTATTGGCGAAGATTACTCGCTCGCTTCTCATCGATAATGAGCCACATTAAGTCACCTCATACTCAGTCATTCATACGATTCCTAACGAAGGCGAGATCCAAACTTATTAAGGTGTGCTGCGTAAATACGTAATGTGTATCAAATCGAATGTCGTCCCCGTATTACACCTGGAGGAAAACATCGCCTCTTGTTAAAGATAAAGAGAGCAAAATAGGGAGTTAAATTGAAACTGGTGGCAGACCACTCCGCGAAATGGAATTCTTAATCTTTAAAATTTGGTTTGGGTTTCTCGAAACGTTTCGATTCCTTTCTTATTTCCTGCCATTTTCGACGTTAATCCTGTATTTTCCGAACGATCCGTTTAATTCTTTTCAAAGAATAAAGTGCTAGCGGGACAATGACACGTAGAGTGCGAAATAGCACAGAAGGATCCTCTTTAAATTATTTATTAAATTCTTCTCGAGAGAGAAATTGTGTGAGCATTTTATCGGATGACTTAAAACGAATATGAGGGAGAAACGGGAAAGAACATTCGAGGATCTCGAAGTCGATCTCTCAATTTAATTAACGATTAAGAAATCCCAATTTCGCGCGCACGACTATTTCTCATAGTTTATTTTCAATAATCTTGTTTGAAATGATTAACAGAAAAAAATGATTAACAAATTGCATGGGTGAGATTTGATAGTGAAAAAATTTACCTATCAAGGATTTTGTGTATAGAAATGGAAGAAATTGGAAGAACACGTTACGCTGGTGCATATTCTATCGCAAGACAACGTGAAGTACCTGTACGCGTTGGAAACATTTACGCAACCATTATACAGATTGGATCCGACAAAAATGGGAGATTATTTACCCGCGCTTATGTATGCCATAAGAATGATTTATGCTACATCACGATTTTTCAACACGAGAAGGATGGTAACTGCTATCTATGTCAAGGTATTTTTCTGGAATTGGACTTTTCAACAATTTTAACGTTCGCACTACTAGCGTCATACATGTATGAGACACATGATGTAAGATATAAAATACTCAATTTGCCTATTTAACATATTTTATATGTGCATAAGCGCAAAAATGTACTCTATTAAGCATAATTATTACAAATGTAGCGTGGGTTACGGTGAACGACTTTCAATTTAAGCGCAATAGCGAACGTATTACACAGCAGTTATTAAGATGCACGTAGAATGACAGATGAAGTTGATCGCTCTAGGCAAACATAGAAAAAATTAAAAAAACAATTCGTTGTAAATGCATCGATGCACCAATATGTAATAATTAATATCAATAATCGCCTTCTCTCATACTATTTTGTATAGTGGAATATATGTCATTTTATATTTTGCATTTTTATGATATTTCTCTTTTAGATAACAAATCAGATGATATTAGCATGTAAAGCGTATCTGACGGAAGATGGAAAATTAAGTATTTGGAACGAATCGAAATATACTATGATATCTAAGATAAAGGTGAAGAGCTAAAGCGTAAACGTTTAAAATCGACGTGTTTCGTATTGTCGACTGACATTTCATAACTTAAGCTAGATAAAAATCGATTTTAATTATTTATCAGGATTGCATCAAGCTATGTGAGACATATCACGACTGTTATGACGATATGTGCAGGAAGGTCGAGGAATCTTCGGACGAGAAGACATTCGAGTTATCCGAAATGTATGTTTTCGGAAAGTTCGCCACTTTTAAAACAAGAATAATAAAAGTAAGCAACGACGTGCGCGTGTAATTTTACATTGCTACCTCATCTTATTTGCGAAATACAATGCAGATCATGGACATCCTCGAAGCAGCGCGAATGTATTCAATTCTGCACAGTTCCACGATAGAAGGAATCGACACGTATGCACAAAAGTACACGAATCATTTCAAGAAGATCTCATCGCAGAAGTACGATCCGTTGAATCACAGAAAACCACACTTCGACGTCGATTACGACGAGTACAAAAAGAGCGTCGCGGAAACTGATGTGGAGCTTAGAACGTTTTTCTACAATTGCGTTTCTTTTGTGCCGACTATTTTGCAAGCTTTAGAACTGATAGCCAGGTAATAACGCGAGCTCCTTTTCTAATTGTCCGAGAAACCGCATGTAAGTACATTGTGATCCATGTAAGTATATTGTAATCGCGTCTCCCAGATTCGAGAAATTAAATCTGAAGCAACTGAAGATCGACCGGAAGTACCTGGAACTCGTCGCGTTGTACCAACAAGAAATCGAAGGAGTTCGCGACAGATACAATGAGGATCGATCCGATCCACCCGTGCCGAGGAGCATTCCGTCGATCGCTGGTAGAATCTTGTGGATTCGGCAGTTGTACAAACGCATCGAGATCCCGATGAATATGTTCAGATTGCACAAGAGAGTGATCAAGAAGGAGCTTATGCAGAAGTGCATCAAAACGTATAACGCGCTCGTCTCTGTATTCATTCATTACGAATTGATATATCATAAAGCGTGGTACGATTCGGCCGATATTGTAAGTTCGAGATTTCACGTCCTGTGCATCACGATGTTCGAGACGATTTAAAGACTATATTCGTTTTTAATTATTAGGTTCGCTTGGCGCTATCATCCCCTCTAATCGTGCGCCACCCGAAGACAAACAAATACATTTTGAATTTCGATTCCTACATATACGAAGTGATACGAGAGTCGGAACACATGTCCAAGTTAGGACTGGAAGTGCCAGATTTTGTACAAATCCTGATCTTTTGCAAGGAGAAGATATTCTCGTCCTATGAAACGGTGATGGAATTACTCAGGGAGAACGATGCTCTCAGGTAAAAATAAAAATTAAATAAAAATTAATTCGCCGATTCAAGATATCCTCGCGCAAAGATGCGTATCTTGTCGTGTTTGTGTGCGCAGAAAATCCATCCCGATATTATTCCTGAAATTAATGAAGATCACATTGGGCGCTCTCGAGATGGTTTTCCAACCCTGCTTGTCGGTGATCACATGGTCCTCGTTGAAAATCTCTGAAGCATGCGCCGATATAAGAAAGGCGATAGACGATGTGAAGATATTCATCAAGGAAGTGCGAGATATGAAGGAGGCGCAGGTGGACGAAGTGCTCGAATGCATCGCGAAAACGACGATGCTGCAGTTAGATAACTACCCGAAAAATCCAGAACAATTCTTGGCCGATAACTTGGCTTTCAGGGATAAGATCGCGACCGAGCTGGAAATCAAGTCCGCTGCAGCGGAAAGGGCTTCCATCATGATTATCAACAAGTTCATGGAACGCGTGACTGATCCCACCGTGCAAGACGTCAAGTACAATTGGATGGATCCCGAGAAAGTGCACAAGCAAGTGGAAATCAAATTAATCGACGAATCGTTCGAACCAGGTATTGCGTGCGCTCCGAAGAATTATTACACAGAAAAAGATGTTAGGTTCAAGTAAATAATTACTCCGATACTCCTTAGCAAATTTTTATTTGAATTAAGTAAATTTTACTTGAACCAAGTAGATATATTTTATTTGGACCAAGTAAAAATTATTCAAAACAAATAAAAATTTGCTAATGAATATTAGAGTAATTATTTACTTGAATCTAATATTTTTTTCTTGTGTATTAATAAAATAAAAATCTCTCTCTTTCTCTCTCTCTCTCTCATTATGATATGACGTTAATCTATATTTACGAGCAATAAACGATCTGATCAAACACAGGCTTCGGTCCTGTTGAAAGAACGAGCATCGTGAGAATAAATCAAGTGCATCACGATTGCATGGAACTGTTCGCATATTTCAATAACAAATTGGCCGAGGCTTTAGTGAAGTGCACTAAAACTGCTCTGGATTTATTGAGGACGAAGGCGGAATATGTAGGGTACTTCGATACTCGCGTATTTTTATACACACGTCTCTGTATTTCATTTTTATTTCATGGTCTATGAGTGCGCGGAGAATGCGAAGAATAAAATAAATCGACGTAAATATAAATTATTGTGTTCTACTATAGCCCGGTGCTGGAAGATACTTCGACAGAAGAGCGAGAGACCCCGATCTTGGTGACGAACTTTGTTCTACAAATACCGAATATCGTGATCACTCCGTCGATAGAAGAATTACAGCACCATTTCGGTAAAGTTGTAGCGAGTGTTATGGAGACGCACAAGAAAGTAGTTTTATGGGGCGAACGATATTCTTCAACAAACATGCAACCGGAACTACTTGATAATATACGTAAAAGTAAAATACATAAAAGTAATAATACTGTGAAAAAAAAAATGAAGGACTAACATATTTTAAAATATTTATCATAGAGAAGATTATAGTACTTCTCTATATTGTCGTAATTCCTTAAATAATTTTTAAATATTCTAAATATATATTTATTACTTAATTCTTTTAACTATCAGGTGACCAAGATGGCTCCTTCAACAGCTATTTCCAACATATCTCTGATCATAAAGAGATAATTCGCTCTTTGATAAGTTTGCAGGGTATAATAGTATTGCTGAAGAATGACATCGCCAGAGTCAGTCAGGTATGAAAATTTATTGTTGTTTCCTTTAATTATATTTGCAACGGCATATGACCGTTTAAGTTAATCTAATTACCCATTAATGGCAGGAATATTTAAAGTATTCTTACATATGGGCGGAAAATAGAAATGATATAATACAAGCGTTTGTCGATTCCGCGCCTCTTATACAAGAAATCAAAGAGAAGTTCGTGGAATACGATGATCTAATGGCAGAAATCGAAAATTTACCCAATTACCATATAATCGGTCCACTCCACGTTAATATGGGTGCGTTAAACGAATTTTGCTTTGATATAATACTTTGAATAAGTGTTATAAAATAATGATAATAATAATAAGCATATTAATATTGAGTTTAGATGTACAAAAAGATTATTCTAAAGTGTTAAAAGAATTTTATATATTTTATAGATAAGTTGAAATTAGCGTTCTATGTTGAAGCAAGTGCATGGAAGAAATCATTGGGCGTCATTTTGTCAAACAAATACAAGGAGAAGTTACGTAACATAACAGATTATATTCAAGAGAAAAATAATATTCTGTCTAGGAATATTAAAGATTTAGAGGATGTCAGGGTTGCAATGAAATGCTTGGGAGAGATACGGAATGACTTTATACCATTAGACATGGAACTAATTCTAATCGAAGAGGCTTATATATTGATGGGAAAATTTAACGTCGATATATCAAAGGAGGAACAAGAGATAGTGGATGGGCTGAGATATAACTTCAACAACATGCTCCAAACGGTATCGACTTGTCATTTTTACTTAACTCTGCCTAGTATCTTTCGATACACTCCAAATTCTCTTACTTTAATAATATTATCGCGTTTTTTGAAGTTCTCTTACCTCTCTTCCATGATCAGTGATATCGATGTACACACGTGCATTTCTAGGCAAAAGTAGTTCAAGCAGTTATATGTGAAATGCAAGAGCCATTAAGAAAGGAACTTGTCGAAGGGGTTGCAATTCTCCAAAAGAACGTAATCGAGTTTGACATCGATTTCGAGCTCAATGGCCCGATGGTCGAAGGGATACCTGCGAAAGAAGCCAGTGAACGGTAATGTGCTTAATACTTTTGCACAGAAACGCTGCACATATATATTGACGAAGCATATTCGATTTTAAGCATATTAGACTTTCGATAGAATCCTAATGGAGTTTATTTATTCAAGTGATATAAATAATATTATATTAATAATAGTATCGTTTTCTTCATATACTGTTACATTACCCTTTTCCCAGGCTTATCCTGTTCCAAATACGTTTTCAAGAGTTGTGGGAAAGGTACGAAACTTACAGCAGCGGCGAGAGCTTATTCGGCATGGAGGTGACGGAGTACCTACCTCTCGAACAGAGAAAGAAAGAGATTAATTTATTGCAAAAGTTGTACACTTTATATTTGCAAGTTATGCGCACTATCGATAGTTACTACGATATTCCGTGGACCGAACTTGATATAGAGTCAATCGTGACCGAGTTGGCCGAGTTCCAAAACAAGTAAATTAGATCGATCCGCTTAACGAGGTTTAAAATTGTAACAGCCATTACGATAACGTGGCGATATGATTTCAGATGCCGAAGATTACCCAAAGCCATGAGAGATTGGCCGGCGTATATCGATCTAAAGAAGAAGATCGACGATTTTAACGATATGTGCCCGTTATTGGAGATGATGGCGAACAAAGCGATGAAAGAGAGACATTGGGAAAGAATGTCGGCGCTGTGTAAATATTTCTTCGACGTGGAATCCGTAACTTTTACCTTGGCGCACATTATGCAAGCGCCTCTGTTGAAGTATAAAGATGACGTCGAGGTACGCTCGAATAGATCACCAAGTTATCGTCTCTAACTAATATTAATCATCGCTTAATTTTTACGGATCTTTTTGCGGTGTATTAAGTGTGAGAAATAAAGAGGGAAAATTATTCTTGGTAACTAAATATCGCAGGACATATGTATAAGCGCGGTGAAGGAACAAGACATCGAGACCAGGCTGAGGCAGATAATTGCAGATTGGGCGATTGTAAATCTGCAATTTGCCAGCTTCAAGCAGAGAGGCGAACTACTGCTGAAGGGTGTCGAGACGGCTGAGATAATAGCGCAACTCGAAGACAGTTTAATGATCATAAGTTCTCTGCTGGCGAATCGGTATATTAGACAGACGTCCAGATCCGAAATTGCCGCATGTAGAATGACGCGCGCCAAATCTATTCTACGTGCGATTCTTGCAGTTACAATGCGCCGTTCAAGAAAGAAATTCAGTTGTGGCAGGCTAAGCTCAGCAACACGTCCGAAATATTGGCGAAATGGTTGACCGTTCAGAATCTGTGGGCTTACTTGGAAGCGGTGTTTATCGGCGGTGACATATCAAAGCAGTTGCCTACCGAAGCAAAACGCTTCAACGTACGAATTGTCGCAATAAAATTCTGTCAACAAATTCATTTAATCGCTCGTTATTTTAGACCATCGATAAGGCTTGGGTCAAACTCATGCTTCGCGCCCATGAGAAATTGAACGCTGTGGAGACGTGTACCGAGGATGAAACCATGAGCCAATTTTTACCTCATTTGCTGGAGCAATTAGAGTCGTGCCAGAAATCTCTCAGCGGGTATACATATTATCGGCAAAATAAAGCGAATGTGCTCATATCCGTATAAATTATATTAACAAATCTTATTAACGCAGTTATCTGGAAACCAAGCGCGCTATTTTCCCAAGATTCTGTTTCATATCGGATCCCACATTGCTAGAGATACTCGGCCAAGCGGCCGATTGCCACACTATACAGAATTATCTAGATGGATTTTTCGACAATATAGCAAAGGTGCTGAGATACTCGTCACTCAAAAAGTTCGATTTAACTTTTCAGTCAGATTTCACTTTATTATATTCAATGAAAATTAATTCAGTTATTATACGCTAATCAAATAACTGTTCATCGCCAAAAAGGAAAGAAGACAGAAAATTGAAGCGAACCACATTTGACTGATTTAATATATCTAGAAATCCATTTATTCGCGATCTTTTCGAAAATATTCCCTCTATTCTAATTAAGCGAGAAATTGAATGCCCGCATAATGCCGTAAATTACCCTAATGTTTTATTTCGCCATAATTTGCGATTCTATATTTAATTTTCCTTTAGATTTGATAGAACAATTTACATAATTCCTTCTTATTCGAATAACAAATGTTGGCGAAATAAAATTAACGTAAAATATAACGTACAGCAAAAATAATCGTATATATTTCTATTTACGATTATTTCTGCTGTACGTTATATTTTACGTTAATTTTATTTCGCCAACATTTGTTATTCGAATAAGAAGGAATTATGTAAATTGTTCTATCAAATCTAAAGGAAAATTAAATATAGAATCGAAAATTATGGCGAATAACTCTCAAGTCGTTCTTGCGTATGAGCTTATCATATTCTTCCTCGTATGCAGCTGAGCTTCTCCGAGAAGGAATATGAAAAAATTCAAGCGATGCATTCACGAGAAGATGAGAAAATAGTATTAGAGAAAGAAGTCGTGTGTACAGGGGGTGTGGAGAATTGGTTGAACACTTTGTTAACAGTCCATCAGCAGTCCGTCGGTGTTGAAATTTCATTGGGATTACAATCGTTTCATACGGCCGAATTTGACATCCTATCGTTAATAGAGAATTCCGTTTTCCAAGTGAGATAACACGTGTAAAAATTTCGTGTTAAAAATGATCCACCGTAATGTTTGTGTTACTTCAGCACGGGGAATATATTAAAAAGTATACAATGTGTACAAATATACAAATATGTTAAATTAATATATTTACCTTGTTAAAATATTACTTTTTAACATATTCATCTTGTTAAAGTAACATAAAAATTTTATAGTGGACCGTTTTTAATACAACATTTTTTATTGTGTATTATATATTCGCTTCGTTGCAGGTCGGCTTATTAGCGTTGCAGATTTTATGGACGCGCGGTTCCGAAATAGCGATAACGACAGCCAAACGCGACAGAACGATAATGAAACGGACTAATCAGTGGTTTCTAGACTTGCTCAACAGTCTCATAGAAGCAACCGTCAAAGATCTTACGAAATATGCCAGAGTGAAGTACGAAGCTTTGATAACGATACATGTGCACCAGAGGTAATGATTCCGAGTATTTATTTCTCAAGCTGTGCAATTATCGTTTATAACGCAGCGAAGATCGCCAGAATTGGCTTAATTGGCCAATTTCTTCCCAGAGACATATTCGACGAATTATGTCGTCTGAGAATACGAAGTATACACGACTTCGAATGGTTAAAACAGTGTCGGTTTTACTTCGATGACGACACCGAGGAAGTCTCAGTCAGGATAACCGACGTGGAATTCGTTTATCAAAATGAATTTCTAGGCTGTACAGATCGTCTCGCGATTACACCGCTCACTGACAGATGTTACATAACTCTTGCGCAGGCTGTAGGTAAGATATCTGGACCAGCTTGAAGAGAGGAACGACCAGTGGAAAATAACATTTGCAGCGTCGCTTACACCATCGTGTCGCATTTCTGTCCCGTCAGACTATCGTGAATAATTTTTTCAGGAATGAATTTTGGCGGAGCTCCAGCAGGCCCCGCAGGTACGGGTAAAACGGAGACAACAAAAGACATGGGGAAAGCGTTGGGCAAATACGTGGTTGTTTTTAATTGCTCCGATCAAATGGATTTCCGAGGTTTAGGCAGGATATTTAAAGGTCTTGCGCAATCCGGCTCTTGGGGATGCTTTGACGAATTTAATCGAATCGATCTGCCGGTATTGTCCGTTGCCGCGCAACAAATAGCGATTGTGCTTAACGCGCGAAAAGAACGAAAATTGAACTTCTTGTTCAGGTATAAGCGAGTGTCGATCGTACCGATCATACCTCTTTAAAAAGTAAATAAATTCTGAATATTTGACGAGAGTAAAGCTAAACTTTGAATTGCAGAGGTCGGAAGTTTGTTTTTTCTCATAGAATAAATAAATATTTCTTATACGAATATACAAACTATTTCATAAACATTTATCATTTTACTGAACAGAATTTACTTTGTAAAAATTAGTTTTAATTATATATTAATGTGTACATATTATTCATAGCGACGGCGAAATGCATAAGCTCAATTACGAATTTGGAATATTTATTACAATGAATCCCGGATACGCCGGTAGGCAAGAATTGCCGGAAAATTTGAAAATACAATTCAGAAGTGTTGCTATGATGGTTCCTGACAGACAAGTGCATTGAAATATTATTACTCCCGTCTATACGCCAAAACATCTAAACCACATGCTTCTGCTGATATAAGATTTATAACTTTTATCACATCAAAATTTAACCCTTTGCGCTCGAGGACTTTTTCGCTCGAGCGAACCAGCAACTCGAGAGGAGTTAGCTGGTAATAATAGCTGGTAATAATAGTAAATAGCTCCCGTTTATTTCATGAGGGCTAGGAGTAGACTCATGAAGCGATATTCGTTAGGCCAAATCTAAATAAACACCGTTATCGCTCGATTTGCCGCCTCGATCCGAGTGGTGCCTGAGAGGCACCTCTCGATCGCAAAGGGTTAAAATACATTATTCACATTGTACGAATTTAATATCGTTTATCTAGATCATAATGCGAGTAAAACTCGCGGCGTGCGGCTTCAAAGAGAACGTGGTATTAGCACGGAAATTTTTCATTTTGTACAAATTATGCGAAGAGCAACTTAGCAAACAAGTGCATTATGATTTTGGGTTGAGAAATATTTTATCGTGTCTGCGAACACTCGGCGCTCAAAAGCGGGCGAATCCTACCGATTCCGAAGAAACGACGCTCATGAGAGTGTTACGGTAAGAATTACGCTATTAAGATTTTACGCGCTTTATTTCAGCTCTTGCGAATGCGGAAAATAAAGTTCTCCGAACCGCGCCTGCGAATTTTTCAGAGACATGAACCTGTCCAAGTTAGTGGACGAAGACGAGCCGCTATTCATGTCGCTTATCGAAGACATATCCCCAGGAATAAAGTTAATGACTCAGACGTACAAAGAATTGCAGAAAGGAATAGCTAATGCTGCGGCTGCCCTCGGAATAATGAATCATAGCGAATGGAACTTGAAAACTGTACAGGTACGCCTGAAATAAATATTTTCGCGTATATTCGTCGATCTCATTGAATTATTTTGCTCTCGGATTCGACGTTAAAAAATTCCACGTGTTTAAAAATCTCTCGAGCGGGCATCGGAAAAATTTCACTTTGCATATCTGTTCGACCTGAAATATTTCGCGAAACACGTATAAAACACACAGGTGTAAAGATTCAGCGAATTATGAATTCGATCGAAAAAGAATCTTATGCGCGTGAATATCAATGTACATAAAATTATTAATTTATAGTTGTACGAGACGTCACTCGTTCGACACGGTCTGATGGTTCTCGGGCCAACGGGATCCGGTAAGACGCGATGCATGTGGGCGTTAATGAGAGCTCTGACAGAGATAGGTATACCGCATAAAGAAATTCGACTGAATCCAAAAGTTGGTATATATATGTCAGTGACGATTTCTCCATAGATAATTCCTTTCTGACCTAATGAAAAATATCGCCAGGCAATAACCGCGTCCCAAATGTTCGGGAGACTCGATGTCGCAACGAACGATTGGACCGACGGTATATTCTCCATTATATGGCGCAGATCGACGCAAACGAAGAAGACGGAAAATCTGTGGATGGTTTTAGACGGCCCGGTCGACGCGGTATGGATCGAGAATCTGAATTCGGTTCTGGACGATAATAAAACGTTAACGTTGGCGAACGGAGATCGCATAATAATGGCGCCGAATACCAAGCTGGTGTTTGAGCCTGACAATGTGGACAATGCGTCACCGGCGACGGTATCGCGTATGGGGATGGTCTTTGTCAGTGCTTCCGTGTTAAAATGGAGTTCAATTTTAGAGGTAACACGGAGATCTGGGTCAATCTCATTCCTTTGTGTGTGCGTCGTCATAGCGATATTCATTCGCGGAAACCTGTTTCCGCGTCACGACACCACTTTTAACGCAGGGTTGGCTCAAAAAATGCTCCCTCCACGAGGCTGATATATTACGGACATTATTCCACAAAATATACGGGGATGCACACACGTTTGTTCAAACAAAGCTCCAGGCAAAAATGACGCTTTTAGAAGCGCTCTATATACGGCAATGCATCGATCTATTGGAAGGTTTGAATGTCGGGAATTCCGATCCGACCAGTAAATATATCATTTTCTCTCTTTCGTGCTAGAATATATTTATTTATAGCGTAATATACCTGAAAGCGGTTTTTTGATCGAGGCTGTAATTTTCAGAAATATTGCCAGAGCATCGTATCGAGAAGCTTTTTCTATTTTCTCTCATTTGGAGCTTGGGCGCGGTATTGGAGCTCGACGCGCGGCTCGCGTTGCAAGAATTTCTTGTAAATCACGAATCAAATTGTAACTGGCCCAAGTATACGGTTCGTACAATAATTCTTCAACGTATCGTTTGTTCGATCAATGTGATGCACCGCTCGTTTTTCTTGTGTTCTATAAAATGTTTGGCTCGTAGGAAGATGAAACTATTTTCGAGTATCTTGTGTCTGACGACGGGAGGTGGATACATTGGAACGAAATGGTGCCAAAATTCGAATACCCCTCGGATCGCGTCTTAGAATACCACACTATTCTCGTTCCTAATGTCGATAATACGAGAACTTTATTTTTAACTGACATTATAGCGAAACAAGGAAAAGCGGTACTTTTGATAGGTAAAATAAATATTTTATCTCGCTAATTGATTTCTACAGTGTTGAATATATCAATTAAAAATCTGCGATATACCTTAATATTAATCGCTTGATATGTAGGAGAACAGGGTACAGCGAAAACCGTAATGGTAAAAAGCTACATGTCCAAGCACGACCCCGAATATCACTTGAACAAGTCATTCAACTTTTCTTCAGCATCCACGCCCAGCATGGTTCAGGTATTAATTCCGAACACGAGTTCGTTACGTACTAAAGTACAAATCGTCGCGAAATGGTTGGCTTTCAGCGTGTATTCGAGAGCTACGTGGAAAAGCGAGTGGGCACCACTTACGGACCTCCTGGTGGTCGAAAGATGACCATTTTCATCGACGACATAAATATGCCGACTATAAATGAGTGGGGCGATCAGATTACGAACGAAGTCGTGCGTCAGCTGATGGAATACGGGGGGTTTTACTCGCTGGACAAACCGGGTGACTTCAGCACCATGCAAGACATCATGTTCCTCGCGGCGATGATTCATCCGGGTGGAGGCCGGAACGATATTCCGGCGCGATTGAAACGGCAGTTCAATATCTTTAATTGTACACTGCCGTCCAATAAGTCGATGGATACGATTTTCAGTAAGGACAATGGTTACCCATCCAACGTAGCGGAATAAGCATAACGCGATTTACTCAATGCGAATTTACAACGATCGCAGGTGCCATCGGCCGAGGTTACTTTTGCATTGAGAGATTTTCCGAGAATATCGTCGATTTCTTACCAAAGCTCATACCACTGACTCGATTACTGTGGCAGCAAACCAAAGTGAAAATGCTGCCGACTCCGGCCAAGTTTCATTACGTTTTCAACTTGCGCGACTTGTCGCGCATTTGGGAGGGGATGCTCTTGATAGAGAGAGCCGAATGCGAATCCATAACGACCCTGCTGAAACTGTGGGAACACGAGTGCACGCGTGTCATAGCGGATCGGTTCGATCAGTTTTATATACACGCACACGCACGCACACACAAAATTACGAAATAGGAATATTCTCACTACGAGGTATACGGCGATAATAAATAATTCTCTCGTTACTCCCGCAGCTTTATCGCTGCCACCGAAAAAGAGTGGTTTCAAAATTCGTTAAGGCGCGCCGCGGAGATGATACTGGGCCCAGACTTCGTACATTATTCTCCGATCGAGACATACTTCGTCAACTTTCTGCGCGAACCACCGGAACCGACGGGTGATGAGCCCGAAGATTTCGTATTCGAGGCACCGAAGATTTATGAGGAGATGCCGAGGTATACCGAAAGACTCGGCTTTATGTTTGACGTTGCGGATTCGAGAGAGATAATGCAAGACCACGTTAACGTTTCTACGGCACCTATAGTTACGAGATCGTTATTGCCAAAGTCCAGCAAAATATGGAGCAGTTTAATGAATACATACGCGGCATGAGTCTCGATCTGGTCTTTTTCCACGACGCTCTGGTACACTTGATACGAATATCGAGAATACTTGGAGTTCCCAGAGGCAATGCGATGCTCGTGGGAGTGGGCGGGTCGGGCAAGCAGAGTCTGACGCGACTGGCATCCTTTATCGCGGGCTTTAACTTCTTCCAGATAACGTTATCTAGGTGGGTATTAAAATTTCACCGAGAAACTAGATCCCCCGTCAACGGCGTAATCAGTCCTGGATTTCGTCCTTGATGCGATTGATTAAAAATATTCGAGAGAAATAATATACACATAGATAATAAATAATATACGCACGCTGGATTGTGTTTTCTAGGATTTATAATGTAGCGAGTTTGATGGATGATTTACGAAAATTGTATCGCACGGCCGGTACGGGAAGTAAAGGTCTCACTTTCATTTTCACCGACAACGAGATAAAGGAAGAAGCATTTTTGGAATATATTAACAACGTACTCAGCGTCGGTGAAGTGGCCAATCTCTTCCCGAAGGACGAATTAGACGACATTCTAACGATCGTCACGCCGCTAATGAAAAAAGACGATCCTCGGCGTCCTCCGACACAGGACAATCTTTATGATTATTTCATATCGCGAGCGCGAGATAACTTGCACATAATTCTGTGCTTTTCGCCAGTGAGCTTCTTCAATATTGCATTATCAAAAGATATCTTTTTTATTCTCTTTTACTGATTTATTAAGTTGATAATTGTTCACATAGGTCGGTGGAAAGTTTCGATCCCGAGCATTAAAATTCCCCGGTCTCATATCTGGTTGCACACTGAATTGGTTCTCACGATGGCCTAGGGATGCATTATACGCGGTCGGTGAACATTTCTTAGAAAAATACAAAATTATATGCAGCCTAGAAGTGAAAGAGCAATTAATGCAAGTTGTGGGCGATATTCAAGATGACGTAAACGATACTTGTATAGAATATTTCGATAGGTTCGCTCGATTATTCTCTCACCTCAATATTTCATTATTTTCTGGGAAGCCGTCCAGTTAATTTAATCTTAATAATGAACACGCAGGTTTCGGCGTCAAGTGTACGTGACTCCAAAATCGTTCCTAACGTTCATCAGCAGTTATAAAACATTTTACAAGCAACATTTGGATAACATTAATACACTTTCAACTCGCATGAGCAACGGTTTAAACAAATTGACCGACGCTGCGGCTCAAGTCGATTTGCTGCGAAAGGAGTTAGAGAGAACTCAAGAGGAGATCGCTTTGAAGAATATTCGAGTAGAAGCGGTAAGCGATGTTGCAAAATTTCTATATAAGATGTCAATTTTATTATATTCGCGGCTTATAACGTTACGTGTAATGTTACGCAACGCTAATAGATTTTAGGCGACGTTGACGTGAAAAAAAGAGACGCTGAGAGCGTGAAAGCGAAGGTGCAAATGTCGAAAGACGAAGCAGAAGCGATTCTGAAAGTGATAGCGAAAGAAAAAGCGGTAGCAGAGCAAAAGCTGAAAGCCGCCGAGCCTGCCCTGTTAGAAGCCGAAGCAGCGTTACAAGTATTATACGATCAATAATTACCACGTTCAATGCCGCGATGGTCACGGTGGCCGGCGCTATGATATTATCGCGTCTCATTAAGTTAAGGGTGTTAACGTCTCATTATATAAGGTATAATTAATTGTATTAGCTCTACTAATAGAGAATCTATGAGACGAGATGAAAAATATATGTATTTTGAATTACGTATCCCTTCTGTATTTTTAGTAATTCGATCATCAATTAAACTTTCTTTCGTAAAGTCAACGGAGATTAGCGCGACCGTCAACGTGTTAATATCAATATCAATTATTCGTCAACTCGAGTGTTCATTTCGATGTCACGCGATGTATACATTTATTATTTCATTTATTTATCCTCGACCGGCGTTATTCCTTCCAAATTAAAAAAAGTATTCGCACTTAACAACCGTACTTGGCTCTTACCAGTCTATTTTAATTCTCTGATATTTGATCGTATATCATAAGAGCCTAATATGGTCGATTTTTTATTTCAGACTATCAAAGCAGTGGATATCGCCACTGTTCGCAAATTGAGTAAACCGCCGTATTTAATTATGCTCATAATGGATTGTGTTCTGATCCTATTCGGAAAGAAGCTGGAACCGGTCAAGCCCGATTACGAGCATCAGTTCTTGACGCCCTCGTGGTCGGAAGCGCTGAAGGTAACGTTATTTGCATTAAATCGAATATTTTAATGAATAATGTCGGGGAAGACAGCGTCTCATAATAAATCGTACGTGAAGTATCGTTTGCATTTTCTTGTAGGTCATGGCTGATACTAGATTTTTACATAATTTACAATATTTTCCAAAGGACAACATTAATGCTGAAACTGTCGACTTGATGTTACCGTACTTAAATTTTCACATGTACACTTATGAAGCTGCGAAACAAGCTTGCGGGAACGTGGCGGGTCTCATACAGTGGACCATCTCTATGGTTACCTTTTATGGAATAAATAAAGATGTGTTACCTCTAAAGGTATTCTCCTATTAATAAACATTGCTACGTGATGAAAAACAGCCAATGTCATTTCGCGGCTTACAAAGGGGAAATATTCTATACCTAAACGCATAACGCTTCCCTTTTATATTTTTTAGACCGTGAAATAACACTGGTCATTTTAGCTGAGTAGTCTGAGTAGATACATAAAATTACATGATGTCGGAAAATGTGTAATAAAATGTATGATTTCATAGGCGAATCTTCTCGTTCAAGAAAATAAATATGAGAAAGCTAACCAAAATTTGGACGAAGCAGAAAAATTATTGAAAGAAAAAGATGAAGATTTGAAGCTAGTGCAGATTGAATTCGACACCGTCATGCAGGAACGACAAGTATGATAACAATGATAACGGGAAATTAGATAATAAATATGTAAACGGCAATATAATTAATTAAATGTCGTTCTATTAGATAATAGTCGATCAAGCCGCGGCGTGTCAAGCGAAAATGGATGTCGCAAGCGCTATGATCGAGGGACTATCTGGAGAAAAAATGAGATGGACGGAGCAAGTGGCCATGTTCAAGTTAGAAATAGACCGTCTTGTTGGAAATATGCTGGTGTTAACTGCGTTTCTTTCTTATTGTGGGCCCTTCAACCAAGAATTCCGAGTTCTTTTACAAAGAAAGTGGTTCGACTTTATACAAGAAAGAAAAATCCCGATTTCCGTTACCATAAATGTCGTTGGTGCCTTGACGGATATAGCTACGGTGAGTATACAATCACAATACAAGCAATATATCTCAAATAAATAATCCTATAATTCGCCATAGATCGGTGAATGGAGCTTGCAAGGATTGCCGACCGACGAACTATCGGTTCAGAACGGGTTAATCGTAACAAAGGCATTAAGATATCCTCTTTTGATCGATCCACAATTGCAAGGCAAAGCGTGGGTTAAAAATAAGGAAAAAGATTTTTCTTTACAGGTAAGATAGTATGATAAAATGCAATGTAAACACATATTGATTTAACGTGCGCTATAACGTGTTTTTTTGATAGGTAACATGGTTAACACATAAGTACTTCAGAAATCATTTAGACGATTCCATATCGTTAGGACGACCGTTGCTGATACAAGATGTGGGAGAAGAAATAGATCCAGTATTGGATAATCTATTGGAGAAAAATTTTATAAAAATAGGAACTTCCTTGAAGGTGAAAAAATAAAATCTTGTTGTATTTTGCGTAACTATTTATTTTACACAATTTACTGTTGTGCCAGGTGAAAATAGGCGACAAAGAAGTGGACGTTAGTAGAGATTTCAGACTTTACATTACGACAAAACTACCAAATCCTTCTTACACTCCAGAAATATTTGCTCGTACATCTATAATCGATTTCACCGTTACGATGAAGGGTATATAATATCGCACATTATATTTTCCGCGAAACTTTTTAATCGATTTACTCAAATTACGTTTATGTAAATTAACTCATTTATGCAGGTCTAGAAGATCAACTTTTAGGAAGAGTTATCTTAACCGAAAGAAAGGAGCTGGAAACGGAGAAAACGCAACTAATTGCCGATGTAGCAGCAAATAACAGAAAGATTAAAGAATTAGAAGCGAATCTTTTGCATAAATTGGCAACCGTACAGGTGAGCCTTACTTTGTCTCTGTGATGTTGATTAAATAACTCTGAAGAGAGTAAAATTAACAGTAACGTCTCTTTAATATGTTTTCGTTCTTTTAAAGGGTCCTTTGATAGAAGATTTCGAATTAATGGCGGTATTAAACACCACGAAACAGACGGCGGCGGAAGTGAACGAAAAGTTGAATACCGCGAAAGATACGGAGTTAAAGATCGATACAGCGCGCGAAGAATTCCGACCGGTAGCAACGCGCGGTAGTGTCTTATATTTCTTAATATGCGACATGCCGCATGTCAATTGCATGTATCAAACATCCCTCGTCCAATTCTTAGAGCGATTCGATATCTCCATGATCAGGTAAATAAAAAACGGCTTTCATACACGGTGACTAAAATCATCGTAAACATTTAACCCGTTGAGATAGCTATTAAATCGCGATTCTTCATCGTTCAGATCCGAGAAGAGTCCGGTGAATCAAAGAAGAATAAATCATATCATCGAATATCTGACGTACGAGATATTCAAATACAAATCACGCGGTCTTTACGAGATACACAAGTACATGTTCATTCTGCTGATGACACTAAAGATCGATCTGCAACGCGGCAACATCACACACGAAGAATTCCAATATTTCATTAAGGGCGGCGCAGCGCTTGACCTAAAGGCCGTCGAGCCGAAACCTTGCAAATGGATCACGGATGTGACGTGGCTTAATCTAGTGGCACTCTCGTCATTACGACAGTTTCAATATATCGTGTCTCAAGTACCCGCTTCCGAGAAAGTTTGGAAGCATTGGTTCGACAAAGAGGCGCCGGAGGAGGAAGTTATACCGGACGGCTATAACACCCTCGACACGTTTCGTCGATTGCTCCTAATAAGGTAATTCTCCGGCATAATTTTAATGTAAAACTTTCTAACGACGCTTAAAAAATGCCAAAGCTTAGCGAAACACCACGAAGGTGTGTTTGAAACATTTTCTATGCGAAACGCGAAATGCAAATAAAGAGAATCAATAAATTCGAATAAAAATGCGAATATCGGTACAAGCTCGCGTATCGGAGAACTGCGGAAAGAACAAACGATGCGATAGCGTAAATGATGGTTTGCAGAGCTTGGTGCATGGACAGGGCGCTGTCTCAATCCAGAAAATACATAGCGTCTTCTCTAGGCGTGAGGTACGCCGAACCCGTAATCACGCTCTTGGACGTGATGCATAGCGAGTCGAGGCCGAACACACCGATGATCTGTTTCTTAAGCATGGGATCGGACCCCACAACCAGTATCGAGCAATTCGCGAAAAAAATGGAGATCGTTTGTAAAAGCATATCGATGGGGCAAGGTCAAGAAGTTCACGCTCGTCGACTACTCAGCAGCGCGAAAACTGAAGTACCGCAAAGAATTCTCTTCCTTCCTGGTGCACGTCGTTTCGGAATATTGAATTTTATTAATCGAAGGGATTTGCAGGGTTTCTGGGCTTTGTGCCAAAATTGTCATTTAGGCTTGGAGTACATGACGGAACTAGCAAATTTCATCTTGGAGATGGAAGCGCCCCATCCGAATTTCCGCGTGTGGATCACGACGGAACCGCATAAGGATTTTCCTGTCTCCTTGCTGCAAATGTCTATAAAGTACACGTACGAAGCTCCGCAAGGTATCCCTCTTGTTTCTTTAAACAAAGATATATTTTTACATATAAAACGGCCAACGATATGATTTCTAATCAAATAAAGAAAAGGAAATTTTTCATACGGTTTTTACTTTTTAGGGGTACGTGCGGGTTTACTGGCGACATATAGCGGTATGAATCAAGAAATGTTGGATCAGTGCGACATAGCGCAATATATACCGCTAATATACACCGTGTCTTTTCTGCACACCGTCGTTCAAGAAAGACGGAAGTTCGGTCCTCTGGGATGGAACATACCGTACGAGTTTAATTTGGCGGATTGGTTGGCGTCCTGCATGTTCATAAATAATCACTTGAACGACTACGACCCGAAGCGCGGAATAAGTTGGCAGACCGTGCGGTAAACGAAGAAATCCGAGTAGTTGGGCCGCTCTCTTTTTGTTTCTAACGACGAACACACGGCGCATGAATTTGCATTTTCAGTTACATGATAAGCGAAGTGCAATACGGCGGTCGCGTTACCGACGACTACGACAAGAGGCTGTTGAATACATTCGCGAAAGTGTGGTTCTCGGACGCTCTCTTCGCGGAAGGTTTCGTCTTCCACAAGGGTTACCCGCTCTTGACATTTAAGCAAACGAGCGACTATCTGAAGGCAATAGACGCCATGAGTACCTTAGATCCGCCGCAAGTATACGGTTTACATTCGAACGCAGATATCACGTGGGTATTTTCGCGCACTGAATTTTTTATGGAACGCGCCGAAACGCATACACGAAATATGCACTGGAGGAATTACGCGTGTCATGTTGCAGATACCAGAGTAACACCACGCAGACGGTGCTGGATATAATAATATCCGTGCAGCCGAAAGAGGCGGGTGTCACCGGCGCGGAATCCCGAGAGGTGGTTGTCGCGAGGCAGGCGAAGGAGATGTTAGAGAAAGTCCCCCGAGTATACGACATGTTTGATGTGAAGGCTAGGTTTGTAAAACGCTTCAACTATTACTAATAGATCTTAACTGCTACTAATAGATCAATGAAAAATACGTGTTATCGTATTCAAAAAAAAATTTTGTGTCAAAAACGACCCGCTGAAATTTGGTCTTAGTTGAACGTGCGGAATATGTTGAAAAATACACAAATATAATGTTAAATTAACACATTCACCTTATTAACATATTTATATGTTTTTTAATATGTTCCGTATGTTAACAAGTAACACGAAATTTTTAACACAAAATTTGTTTACTATGTAGATTATATGCGATGGGACACACCGCTCCGATGAATATTTTCTTGAAGCAAGAGCTCGATAGAATACAAATGGTGATCAAATTAGTGCGCGTCTCGCTGAGAGATCTTCTTCTGGCTATAGAGGGTGTGATTATTATGAGTGAGGTAATTTTGCGTTTGAGTCCTAATCATGTGAGATTATTAAGCGCGCTATGCATCTTGGAGAAGAGCGGATGAATGCAAATGTATTTAAGGAATTGCGAGACATGCTCGATTGCATATACGACGCCAGAATACCAAAGACATGGAAGGCTCGGTCGTGGGAATCGGCTTCGTTAGGATTTTGGTTCACAGAACTGTTAGAGCGAAATCAACAGCTCTCGACTTGGCTGTCGATCGGGAGACCGGTGAAATTTTGGATGACCGGATTCTTCAATCCGCAAGGTACGTGATATGTTTCCGCGTTAAAACGAGTTTTTCAAACGCAATTCCCGCATGAAGCTCGATATCCGGCATCGTTTGCGTAATGTTACTCTGATATCTGCAACACGACGTGAGTAATTCCTCAGTGCACGTTTCATGTGTGTGTTTTTTTGCGTGCACTTCTTTCAATAAAAATGCGGTACGCTCAATCAACTCGGCGGATTTGCAGGATTTTTGACGGCTATGAAGCAAGAGATAACGCGTGCTCGAAAAGGTTGGGTTTTGGATAACGTTACGCTTCACAATGAAGTTTTACGTATTATGGCAGAAGAAGTTAAGACACCGCCTATCGTACGTAATTAAAATCGCACAAGGTGTATTTAGTACAATATATAAATAGGTAACTATGTGTACAAATTAACGATGTTCTCGATGCTCGCGAAACAGGAAGGTGTTTATGTTTACGGATTGTTCCTGGAGGGTGCCGGATGGGATAGAAGAAATAACCATTTGTGCGAATCAGCGAATAAAGTGCTCTATGTGTTGATGCCAGTGATACATATTTATGCCTTATACAACGCTCCAGAAAAGAGCCCAAAATTGTATCAAGTAAGCATAAAAATAGAGTCAATGAATTTCACACGAAACATTCAATTACAATTTATAATTACGAGTGTGAAACATAATAATTTAGCGTGATATATTACAAATCTTTTTTCTCACAGTGTCCCGTATATAAGAAACCTAAGAGGACTTACATGTTGTTAGTAACATCGCTTTGGCTGCAGACTATAAAAAGCCCCGAACACTGGATATTACGCGGCGTCGCCTTGTTGTGCGACAATAAATAATAATTTTCAATAAAGAAGTATGAAATTTAGTCTCGAAAATGTTGATCCGGACGAAAATGGTTTCGAAAATATTAAACGAACTTACGCGAGATAATTTAGCCGCGTATGCATAGAATAATTAAACAAAACATTAGATGGCACTCTAAATGAAAACTGACGGTTGAGTTAGGTTACAAAGAGACTCGCGAGAGGCGAGCGAATTAACAAATAACTTTTAAAGCTGCATTTGTCGCTAATTTCGCCGTGACAAATCTGGATTACCGACGATGCGAGAGTCGCGAGAATTGCGGGTGAATGCGAGTAGAAAGTGGCGCACTCTGTGCCGCGGCGAACGAACTACAACGCCGTCGAGAGTTCAAATTCGAAGAAACCGCCCAGACAGAAAGTGTAGCGCAAAGTAAACGGTACGTTGTAGAATTCGAGTTGTCGTTTCCGTATCTTATCCCTTCCATTCGGGCAATCGGTCGCGAAATAACTCTGCAGCAGCGTAAACAGAGACGATGCGAGTCGATTCACGATTAAAGTAAGTGTTGTATGTTACCTTGTATACACTGCGAGAATCGCATCCGAGTTTGGTTATGTTAGGACGCCGATAGAATTCTCACCACCATATCACGCGATTTAACGTTGCGAAGTCTTTCTGCGCGAGATTTAGTGACAAAGTTACGATAAATCACCTCGAGATGAGGAATTATGTCTCTGAGACAGTTTCTAACACTCGCTTGTACTTTGTCCGTTTAAAGTAGGGCAAGATGAACGGCACGGCTGGTCCTGCGCATTTTTCGGACAGGAATACGAGCGTCCTACGGCAGCGTAGAAGAAAGCGAGGCTATGTATGGCAGAAGTAAGTCGTAACACACTACGAATTCTGAATCTTATAACATTGCAAGGCGTACTTGAGCACGCGTATATACAATTATTTCTCATTATATCATTATAATATATCGCAACATGTCCCCCCTCCCTCCCATATTTTCTCTTGCAACACTCAATTTATTACTTTAATTAACCTTTAGCTAACTTTAATTAATTAATTTTATTTTAAACTTTTTCTATTTTTTTTAAGAGAAACCGATATCATAAGAGTATTTTCAGACGTAATTCGCTAATTAAAGCATGAAAATTTTTCCGGAAGATACAAAAGAATTCATGTTATAAATTATCTCCCGTTGAAGCGCAATGTATAAAATATGAAACCTGAGAGAATTCGATGTTAATATTAGTACATATCGCGTGTATCTAGAGCACGGCAACTCACGTTGTAACTAGAGTTACTCGTTTCTCTACGATGGAATTCTCTAAAGAACCATCTCTAAATAACCATCCGTTATCATATCTCCCAAAGTTCTCTCTCACAACCGGCCCTTATACAATTCAAAATATTCCACGGAGCTCGTTCGGCTTGCCACTTTCGCTCGTTAATTCGGCTGTTCGCTTCCGCGAATAGTTGCGCGCCCAAACGCGCGCGTCGGTTCGCCGAAAATTAGCGCGACGGAAGAAAATAGCGAAACATTTTGTTCTGCAGTATCCCATTACGTTCTATGGCTTTCAACGTATCGTCGTGTTATCCGGCTGATATATCTCGTATGTCTATCCACCCTCGCGCCACCGTTAATAGCAGGCAATTTCGTGTTCCCTCGGCTAACCCGTGTAATTGAGCCAATGTGTGTTAATCAGAGGCGCCTCATTTGCCACGGGGAATAGTCCAAATTGCTTTTGTTACCTGGAATATCTTGGTGCGCGCTGCAATGCCTGTATTGATTCACGAAATTGACATTCTGCCTGAAGTATGCAAAACACGTATCGTCGCGTGGTATATCGAATTAAATCCGGCATATTCCATCAAATGGACACACCATGCACTTCTTCGACAGAGAATATGTCTCTTCTTCGTATCTTTTTTTTTAGATTTTTTTCTTTTTCTCATATCGCAATGTTTTATTCGACCCGACGACAGATATATCATTAATTCGCGAAATATTTGTATCGCTTTCAATGGACAACGTTGTATGAAAATACTTTTGGCAAGTATTAAAAATCAATACCTTATTTTGCGTGACGTACAATGATGCTGCATCAGAGAGGAGAATGTTTTACGCAGGACGGATAGCATGTGACAGATTTTTGCAATACAATTTCACATACCTTCCATGTCATCGCGTTCAACATATTTCTGCCATTTCATCGGAGCTTTAGGTTTTACGTGTAAAATGCGCGACGTATCGTATTATATCAGAATATAACACAAATGTACTGATCTTTGATAAAACTCCCACTGAGCGAATATTTACACTGATTAGTTACTGATTACTTTCGTCCTTTGCAGAAAATATAAAGCGGGAATATCGCGAAATTTAAAAAAAAAAAATCGATAGAGATAGAATTCCGGAAATGATAAACATTTGCTGGAAATAGTGGCAAATACTGCAAGCTGAGGTATCATTCAAAAGTACCTAAATCCACTGATTGAGAATCATTATGGTAATGCGGTTCTACGATGCAGGCTTTAGCTCAACGTGTGTGTGCTAATCACGTGTGCTAGAGCCTAGTACAATAATGTACTATTGCCAGGGGATCACATCGGTCCGAGTCAGCGCAGTTAATTTTCGATAGCACGGAATCACCCTCGTGGTAATTGTCGCCCATGACTTCAACCGCCGGTCGTCTTTGTCCACTTGTTCTATACGACGGCATCACGGTTTGATTTTCCGCAGTTGCATGCACGAATAACTATATCGCTGATCAGGATATGTGGAAATTTATTTCACAGAATCCGGATGAGTAATACAGATTTCATACCATTGCGATTTGCGAATAATTAAATAAGCCGATTTTTAAAACGTTGGTAAACTTTAACATTTTCTTTTTTCATTCGAGGTATTTGAATCTGTGGTTTTATTAATTATTAAAACCATTAACTTCACGCTCACTTATAGATTAAATTTAATGAAAAGAGATTAGCAGAAATTATTTATGTGAAATTTAATTTTTGATTTTCAGAATTGAAAGACAGCCTGGTATATTCTTTACTTCTTTATTTTTTAACATTAGCGTCGCATTTTGCATATTCCTCTCATAAGAGATTTCATGAACAATTCTTCTATGCTAATTTCCATTATGGAATTAGAGAAGAAAGATCAAAATAGTTTATTTGAATTCCAAATGCAGAATAAGAGAAATTAGCTCCAACATGTTTTATTTTTTCCTAAAAAAATTATTATAATTTTTCGTCTAGATTATTCTAATTTGAGGATAATATAAAATTAATTCTCTTTTATAAGGAAGAATTGAAATAGATTCAAAAGATAATTTGAGATAATTTGAAAAACGAAACCAAGATATCAAAGATCATGAATTAAATTTCATAGCATAAATCGTCATCAGTTCTTCATAATTTGAGTTTTTAACCGACTTGTTAACCGATAATTTTTTTACAATCTGAATTTTTAACCGACATATACACATTAAATCGTTTTATTTTTATAATTTTGTATTTTTGAGTAATGCTCATTACCAAGGTCTTAGAAAATAGATTTAGAAAATGCTATTCTTGGAGAATGTTTTATGGAAGAGATTTCTCTCTTTCTATCATCACCAAGTGTTGTAACAATATTCAAAATAAATGCAAATAGTAATACGTTTAATTTACGTGGTAATGGTTAAAATTTATCATATTTAAAATTCAAATTCTAAAGTTTCCGCCCTGGAGATGTAAATCAAACATGATGCAAATGTAAAGAAAATTAGATGATTAGAACTTTTCATATCGTTACTACCTGTTATTTAGCTACACGAAACAAAGTTTCACTATAAACAATGTCTACTTGGAAAAGTTAGTACGCAGTTGAGAATTCTTTACAACTACCAGTGTGCTTCAATTTTGCAAGTATCGTGGAAGTACAAGTAGCTCTCCTCTCACACGTTACACACGACTATTTGGAGAATTCTAAAACATCAAACATTGATTGATTATAAATCGAAATTTGAGAGGTATATTAGAATTGAAATCATGTTATACTTCTAATTTTATTTTTCGAAAGCATTAGGTAATATTTCTCAATATCACAAAACTTCTTACATTCTTACACTTGATAATTTCACCGTACTATAATGTCTTCCATCTTTTCTTGCTCGTTATGTAAATTAGATGATTGAACTTAACAGATACAATCGAATAATCGTGCCTAATAGCGCATGAAGGCGACAACACTCGAGGGATCTTTCGTTCCTCGCATCATTAAGGATAATGCACGAAATACTCTCACCATCGTAAGGATCTCTAAATTACCTTTCCCACAAGGTCGATCCTATCATTAAGCGAGAGATCCAATCTTGTTTCGGAACATTCGCGAATTAACCTTTGATACGGTGATGTAATTCATCCATCCGTTCTTCTTTCGTTACATTTCAAAAATAATTAGTAGTCACTCCCTAATTTTTTAAATCAGTTTACTTTATTCGAATATAACTTTATCACTTCCTAAATGCTTTAACAAAATTTCACATAAAAAATTGTAATACCTAAGAATATATATTTATTATCGACATTTCTCTTGAAATATTATAATTCTAAAAGAATGTTAACATTAAAATTCGAATAACTTAGATTCAGTGTATGATAAAAGAATTATCAAGGCGACGATATTTAGTATTGCACCTCATATTTTTATGCGCAATTGTCGCACAGAGGTCTACGAGGACATCGCGAACATGGCGGCGGTCATAATTCTGTCGACGAGGAGCGTAGTATAGCCGAGATGACATTTGTTATCTCGCGTAGGACATATACATACACACATGCGCGCGTCTGTGGGAGAAGTTTTCTACTCCTCTTAATCGTCGGTCGGCTCACAGGCTCGGAAGTTTCTTTTCTCGCCGCCCAACTCGTCGCATTTACTTCCAACGGAGATCGCGGCAACTTTTCCTTAATATAACTAAATGACTGGTCTGAAGGCCGTCGAGAGAATGTTCTCGCGAAAGTTGGCACTACGAAGATGAAG